CACTTGAGCCACAGCGCCACTTCTGGCTTTTTTCTTTTTGCTTATGTGGTGTTGAGGAATCGAACCCAGGGCCTCAGGCTTGCAAGGCAAGAACTCTACCACTGAGCCACCTTCCCAGCCCTAGGGCCCCATACTTTTAAGGCCAATCCTCTCCACCTGAGCAACAACCCCAGCTCATCTTGCATTAGCTATTTTTCAAGTAGTGCCTCAATTATTATTATTTTTTCCCCCAGGCTAGCCTGTACTGTGATCCTCCTGTTTATACCTCCCACATGGCTGGGAATCATAAACACTCATTACAGGTGTGGCTTTGTTAACTTTGTGCCTGCTCAAACTACAATTCCCCAGTCTCTGCCCCCAGAGTAGCTGGGATTACAGGTGTGTGCCACTGAGCCTGTCCTCCAATCAGATTTAAAGACATGCCAAAAAAAAAAAAAAAAAAAGACATGCCAATAATGCCATGTCCCCATCAAAGGCTTTCTGCTCCTCTAACAATGGAGCTCCCTCTGCTGTTGTAGTTGCTCATAGGCTACGTTTTTCCACAGTGCAGGCTCCTGAGATGGGCTAGGCCTCCCCAACCTCAGCAGTACCACGTGTGGGAACTGCTGGGGATAGGTGAGCCTCACTAAGAATGCCAGAATGCCGTGCATGCTCCTTCATTCCTGCCACCAGTATTTTCCTGCAGCAGGCCCATACCTGGCTGGCTGGTGTGTCCTGAGGACCAAGTTCCTGTGGAGCAGGCCACGAAGGGCAGGCCAGGGTCGAGTAGTCCCAGGGGCTACCTGGAAATAGGAATAGAAACAGAGCTCTTGGTACTCCAGGTTCCTGTGTCCCTCAGCTATGAGCCATACTTGGACAAGGCCTCATGCCGTCCTTTACTGCCATGAAGGAAAGACTCCATCCCAACTTGGGTGCTCACCTTGGGGGCCTTCTGGCCACACCTCTGCAGCAGTTGCTCCTTGGTTAGGAAAGAGTGGCCATCAGGGTTCTGCAATGATGATGGGAAAGTTAGGAGCTGCTTTTTGACTTCCCTGAATGGCTGAGAAAAACTAAGCCTTGCCATCACCAGGTGCTTCTTGTAGCCCACAGCTCCACTCATTGCCTCATCCCGCCCACTGCTGGGGTGGCCAGCCAACTTACCAGGTGCTCCTGGTAGAGCTGCAGTAGAATAGCTCGAGCTCCTGAGTGCCGAGCCGGCCAGTAGCCACCAGAGCCTCCTGCTTGGGGTTGAGCAGAAACCTGAAAGGGACAGAAAGAATCTGGACATGAATGATGCTCAGTCAGTGTCAGCTCAATCCCTGGCAAGGGCTGCATTTTTCACAGGCCCATGCAGCATGTGGATGAGACAGAGACCAGTTGTAGGGCAAAGACAAAGGGTGGAGGTTTGTGCCTGGCCCTGCCTCAGTTCTGCCACCACTGCAAGAGAACACAGCAAGGAAATGGCTCCCTCTCTGTTATCAATATCCCCATTTACAGTCTCAAAGAGATTCATTGAGGAATCTCTCAAACCAAGTCGTACTCTCAGCGCTCCCCCTTTACCCCCTCCTCACCGGCATGTTAGAGTCCTGGTCTTGGGCAGGTGACCCTTCCATAGCTGGACTCTTCTCTCCCGACGGGGGGCCTGGAGCATGGTCACCTGCGGGAGAAGAAAATCAACCTTGAGTCTCGGGGAGTACGCAGCTAGCGGAGTCCGTCTGTTTATGCTGTATTTGAGATCTATGAGGTTCAGAGAGTGCCAACCACTATCCCAGGCCAAGCGGCAGCTCCTCCAGGAGTGGGGGAGCTTGAAGCCAAGGCACCCAAAGTGGGCGCGGAGGCTGCCCCTGGCAGGCCACCCGCTGCGGCCCGGGGCGCTCACCGCCCGACGCTCGGTGCTGCTGCAGCCGCTTGTCCAGCATCCGGCAGAGCCCGTCTCCGAAGTGCTGGAGGATCTTGGCTTCCTTCCCGCTGCGCAGGGGCAGCGGGTACCGCCGGAGCGAACGCAGCGCCTGGCGGGGCAGGGGTGGGTGCGGGTCTCGGTCAGGGGGAGCCCGGGCTCGGGCGGCGCCCTCCCGCCCCCGGCGCCGGCAGTCCCGGTACCGGACTCACCTTCTGAAACACGAAGCGCGTGCGGCGCCCTCTGCGGGCCGCCTCGTCCCGCCACTCGGTCAGCCAGAGCACGAAGAGCGGGTTGGGACAGGCGGGCAGGGGGCGCTTGCGGCCCAGGCGCACGGGCGCCGCCATGAGTCCCGGGGCTGGACCCTCAGCGTCCCACGCCGGTGCGATCGCGCGGCGCGGCTGTCAGGACGCGAACATCTGGGCGCGCGGGGGGGGGGGGTAGGCAAGAGTGAGGGCAGATCCTCCCCGAACACGTGGCCCCTGTTGGGCACTAACTAGGGGTTCGCTCCCTGCGCCTTCTCTATCCCCGCACCACTCCATAAGAGACCCAGCGGGAAAGGGTCACTACCATCGTCCCTCTCCCCACCCCCTCGGCTTCCCCAGACCCCACCCCCCTGCCAGGACCCGCCCTTTGGAAGCGTCCGGTCCAGGCCAGGAACCCTGACCCGCCCCTTCCTCTCGCCTTAGATTCGAGAGCAAGGGTGGGGGGAGCCTCTCCGTGTTGGAGAACGGAGAGGGACAGCGCCCCCTGCGTCTGGGAGGACTGTCACCCGAAATTGGTGGCCCGGAAGATTTCTAAGCTTGTCAGTTACGGCCTCACCCCCGCAGAGGTGACAGGTGACCAGCTAGGCTGGAGAAGAGTCGGACAGGGCAACACAAGTACAAGTATATTTGTAGATGGGACATCCGGGAAGGAGTGTAGGGGATGGCACAAAGGTAAGGCAGGAATAGCTGAAAGATCTAAGAAGAAATGGTGAGCCGTGGGACACGTGTGTATGTAGTAGGGGGGAGGGGGACACAAAGTCAGGGACGTGCCCCGAAGGCCCAGGCTAAGTGTAAGGGGCGCGCGGGGCGGGGTGGGGGTGTGTGTGTGTCAGAGAATAAGTAGAAGACCTATAAGAGGTGCTGGGGTTCCTGGAAGGTTGGGGAGACCAGACTGGCGTGTGACGGCATCCCAGGAAGCTGGTTAGTAGACAGAACACTTCGTTTTCGTGGCTCACGGAGGTTGACGATCGAACTCTTGCACAGGGGTCTCAGGTTGAAGGACAAATGTAGGTGAATTGGGTACAGGTCTCGTCTGGGGTTTCAGCAGCCCCAGGCCGCCAGCTGTCAGGCCAGAAGTGGGCGGGCTCCAGGCAGCGAGGAGCAGGGCGAATCCTAGCTCCAGGCCCGCCCCTGCCCGGCTCCCGGAGCCCGCCTCCTTCCCGACCCGGCCTTATAAGGAGCCTGAAGCCGGAGTTGGGGCCGGCCCCGCCCCCTCTAGTCTCTTGTCCTAATAAGGACATCTAGGGCATCCCGCGGCCGGGGGCGGAAGGATCGCGTCTCCAGGGTAACTACGAAGCCCCTTCCCCCTCCTCGTTGCTCTGGGAAACTGCGAGGCTCGCAAAACGGTGGAGCTAGTCTTCTTTTTAGCCCGGGGTGCTGAGGGGACGCGGCAGAGAAGGGGGTGTCCAGCGGCTTCTTCTACCTGCTGCAATCGCAGCTTGGACGGTGGACGCTGCTGCCGACTACAACCCCCAGCATGCTCTGCGAAATACCCCCCACTCCTTGCGTTGCTCTCCACTTGCAGGCTTTATTCTGCTTGTGGTACCAACGCCCTTGCTCCGACTGTTTCTATTGCCCAATTTTCTTGTAGTGAAGCTAAGGTCGGTCATTGTTCTAGGCCAACGAAATCTTCCTGGAAGTTCCCCACATGTTTAATTTTAGGCTCATGTTCCCATAGAGATAGTGTCTCGGTTTTTCTGAGTGTTAGAGTGACTAAATTTATCAACTTGACAACTAGGTTCGTCTTTCTCTTCTCTCTTAAGTCTTGAATGCACACACACATACACATACCCGTCCTGCTTCACTGAATTTGCCAAACGTTAAGAACTAAGCTCTTCTTTCAGATTCTCTTGTAGCTATTCCCGTGTGTGTGTGTGTGTGTGTGTGTGTGTGTGTGTTTCCCTCTTATTCTATATGACCTGTTCCTTTTTTGTGAGTGTGCCGTTTTAGGGCTTAAACTCACTGCCCCTGAACTTTTGTGCTCAAGGCTAGCACTCTACCACTTGAATCACAGCGCCACTTCTGGCTTTTTTGGTGGTTAATTGGAGATAAGTCTCACTGTCTTTCCTGTCTGGGTTGGCTTTGAATTGCGATCCTTAGATCGCAGGTTCCTGAGTAGCCAGGTTTGGCTCGACTGTTTGACAAGAATGACTTTGCACACGGAGGGTGTAAAGTTTGAAGATACTTTCTCTTTTTTTTTTGGGGGGGGGGGGGTGTCCGGTCGTGGGGCCTGAACTCTGGGCCTGGGCACTGTCTCTTAGCTCTTCAGCTCAAGGCTAGCGCTCTACCACTTGAGCCACAGCGCCACTTCCGGCTTTTTTCATTTTGCTTATGTGGTGCTGAGGAATCGAACCCAGGGCCTGCTGCATGCAAGGCAAGCGCTCTACCACTGAGCCACCTTCCCAGCCCCTGAAGATACTTTCAAACTAGCAATTCGGCTTGTTTCAGGACCGGATTCCAGGCCAAAGCTTTGTTTCCAAGAAGCGAAAGCCTAATCATCAATATTTTTACAGTAGGTTTCCAGAAAGTGCCAGGTGGACCTTAGGAAACCGCTTCCCGGCGGGAGAAGGAGCCGCTCCGTCGAGGATGATTTTCGGGGCACTGCGCTCCGCGCTGGGCACCTCCCTCGGCGCCCCGGAGCGGTTCCTGGTGAGCCCCACCAATAGGCCCGCTCTACGCGCACAGCCCCGCCCCTCGGCCTACATTTCCCCGCAGGCCCTGCGGAGCCGCGAGGCAGGCGACACCCCCGGCTATTACCCAGGGAGCCCGACGACCGTGCGAGACCCTCGGACTCCATTTCCCGTCGACACGAGCAGGGAGCACCGGAAGCCCGCCCCGCCCCTCATTGTGCGGCTCCTACTAAACGGAAGGGGCCGGGAGAGGCCGCGTTCAGTCGGATCCCGACAGCAGCTGCAGCAGCTTTGGTTTTCCCAGGCTCTCCTCGCCCTCTTCTCTTCGCTTTCGGAAACATGGTGAGCGGCAGGCCGCGGCTCCCGCGGGGGAGACGGCTGCGGGTCGGTCCCTCCGACGCCCGGGGATGGAGAGGGCGACCTCGGCCCTCCCGACCCCCCGGCAAGACCGGGTCTTGCATCGACCGGCGGGCGGCCCTGGGCCGCGCGTGCGCGCCCGCGGGTGCGGGGCCGGGCCGGACGCCGCTTGTGCGCCCCCGGCTCCCTCCCCTCCCCCACGCCGCCCGCGCGGACACCAGCCGTGGGGGAGGGGGCCGGGCGCGAGCGCGCGCCCCTCGCGGAGCCGCCGGCGTCGCGCATCCTCCGAGCCGGCGCGCCCGCCCGGGAGCACGCGGCGTCCAAACCCAGCCCCGGGGCGACGGAGGAAAAGCGCGCGCGCCCCACCCAAGGGCTGTTCCTTTCTCCGCGTCACCCTCCCTCGGCGGGCGGCTCCGTCTCCGGAGCAGGTGGCAGGGATGCCGGGGTCCGGGAAGGGCGGGGGGGCCCGGGGGGGGCCCGGGGGGGGCACCGGTGTCGGGAGACCCAGAAGTTGGCGAGGCGCGCGACCCGCCGAGGCCGCCCTCCTCGCGAGCCCACAGCGCCCGCTACGCCCGCGCTCGCACCCCGGGCTGGGCTGGCGCCGCGCGTGCGTACACGCTCCGGCCCGGCCTCGGGGGGCCGGGGTTCGAGACGCGCGGGGCCTCCAGCTCTCCCGGATGGGGCCTGAGGGCGGAGCCGAGTTTAGGGAAGTGACCCAGGCGGGCACCGCCCGGAAACCACCCGCCTCCTACGTTTAGCCCCAAGGCTTCGAAAACTGAAGCTTCGGCCACTTGCCCGGGCTACAGCCCCAATCGGACACGCGAGTTCGTGTATTCTCAAAGGCGGCTCCGGCGTGAGGAGAGGCGCCGAGCTGCGGTGGCCTCCGGGGTACAGATTTCTCGCCCGTGGAGGGGGCAGGCCTAGCCCATCTCTCTCCACCCACTCCGGAAGCGACGGTCACGTGGCCAGCTTCCTCTGCAGTTCCCCGAGGGGGGGCAGACTTCTCCGTGAACAATCGTTCCCTCTCCCGGCTGGGGTGGCCCTCGGCACCAGGCAGAGTAAAGATCTGAGGAGGTTTGGGGAATCCAGGACACTACCCGGGTTCTGTCAGCGACCTCTAGGGTCCTGTACCCCTTGCAGAGGAGGCTGATTCTCCTTTGGAAAGATCCTAGCTGGGGAGAGGGGCGTTTGTGTCATAACCGTGTTGAGTGGCTCTAGTGAACTTAACGGTGGAGCACCCTTTAGTGCCTGCTTCAGCATCCTCGCCAGATCCCAGTTTGTCCTTTCGAAGAGGAGAGTGAAGCCTGTCTGGGCCGTCTGGTTTCTGTGAAATTCTGCTACCTAAAGGCTGTGATTGAGTACTCTTTTAAGAGGTCAGCCAATAGGTTCTAATTTTGAGTTCATAGCTCATGGAAGGATTTTGTTTACCATAGCTCTCCAGTTTCTAGCCTGTAAAATCAGTAAGGATGCTGAGCTAGACGGCTGAGACCACTTCCGCGCCCTCCATGCAGAGGAGTTATGCAGGTCCTATCTGGTTCTCTTGGGCAGTGGTTTAGATGGGGGAAAAAATCTTACCTTGGCAGGAGGATTAGCTGACTCCTTGTGAATATGAGCTGAGAGCTGTACCTTTTGTTACCCAGATTGAGATCTAATACTGGAAAGCAGGGGCTTCAGGAGACAGTTCTTTCATGAGGTGTGTGTGTGTGACTTGTCCCTCAGGCCTCCGGTGTGGCTGTCTCTGATGGTGTCATCAAGGTGTTTAATGACATGAAGGTGCGCAAGTCTTCAACGCCAGAGGAAGTGAAGAAGCGCAAGAAGGCAGTGCTATTCTGCCTGAGTGAGGACAAGAAAAACATTATTCTGGAAGAGGGCAAGGAGATCCTGGTAGGTGATGTGGGCCAGACTGTGGATGACCCCTATGCCACCTTTGTCAAGATGCTGCCAGACAAAGACTGCCGATATGCCCTCTATGACGCAACCTACGAGACCAAGGAGAGCAAGAAGGAGGACCTGGTGTTCATCTTCTGGTGAGCTCCTCATTCAGAAGCACTCCTGGAGGTGCCATTTTGAGGGGAGGGGGTGGGGACAAAATGTTCCCTCAGTGGGGAACATTAGTAAATGATAGAGGCCAGCCCCAGGGCTTCTTGAAGCGTAGTCTGTTGCTGAGGCCCATTGCTGCAAAAGTTCCTGGTTTGTCTGTCTACAGGGCCCCTGAGTGTGCACCACTTAAGAGCAAAATGATCTATGCCAGCTCCAAGGATGCCATCAAGAAGAAGCTGACAGGTATGTAACGGTGGTACTTTTGTGTGCATGAGCCCTGGCTGCAGGGTAGAGTACCTGACAGTGACGGGGTTCCTCCAGTCTTCCCTGCCTTGCTGGGCCAGACCTTCCTTCTATGCCCTTCCATCTGCTCTGATGGCTGCTTCCCAGACTCGGGAAGTGCTTTCTGCTCACAGATGCTCCCCTCTCTCCTACAGGGATCAAGCATGAATTACAAGCAAATTGCTATGAGGAGGTCAAGGACCGATGCACCCTGGCGGAGAAGCTGGGAGGCAGTGCTGTCATCTCCCTGGAGGGCAAGCCTTTGTGAGCCCCCTCCAGCCCCCTGCCTGGAGTATCTGGCAGCCCCAGACCTGCCCTTGGGGGTTGCAGGCTGCTCCCTTCCTGCCAGACGGGAGGGGCTGGGGGGGAACCCAGCAGGGGGAGGGTAATTCCTTCACCCCAGTTGCCAAACAGCCCCCTCACCCCATGGACCTTCCTCTTCTTCCTTCTCCTCCATCCCTGATGGTTCTGGCTCTTCCAAACCGCTTTTGATCTTCTCATTCCTTTTTTTGGTTGAGGATGTCCCATCCTCTTCCCTCTCCCCTGCACCCAGTTTGGAGGGAGGCTTGTATTTTTTTTAACAACATCCCTACTCCCCACCTGTTCCTCCCCCATCCCATGCTGCCAACTTCTAACCGCAATAGTGACTCTGTGCTTGTCTGTTTAGTTCTGTGTGTAAATGGAATGTTGTGGAGATGACCCCCATCCCCCGCGCCGGCTGGTTCCCCCCCACCCCCCCTTTCTTCTGGTCTTGGCCATTCATGGAGGCAGGATCAGTGAGGACTGTCAATTAAAAAAAAAAAAAAAAAAGATACAACAATAAAAAGCCTCATCAACAGGATGCTTCTTCAGGGCTGGGGTCTGCAGGATTTCTAACAGAGGTTTGCTGGGTAAAAGGAGCTGTTGGCTATCCTGTACCCTACCCTCAGCCAGCTTGCCGGGACAGACAGAAGCCTTTGTGTGTCGCTGTAATTACTTCTATACTGGCTGTTGAATGGGGTATCTGAGCCCAGGGAGTGTCTGCTGTTACTGCTGGGGGAGGGCTAGACCATTGGCTTCTGCGTTCATGGAAGCTCAAGAGAGGGGGTGAGCAGTGAAGTCCACTGGGTACTTGGCTCAGTCCTACCCAGGTGTGTGGGCTTTTGAGCTACTTTCTACCTTTTAAGGTTTTGTTGGGTCCCTGGATGGCTGACTCAAGATTACAAAGCCAGCCTCACGGGCTGCTATGAGTCAGGCCAGGTTGAGCCTTTGGCCTTTGGTAGATGTGGCTGGAGTCCACTCAGGGTGGGGCTGGCCAGGTGGAGTGGTGGACTTCAGACCCAGTTTGTGAGACTTACTTCCAATTAACCACCAGAGAACAGGAAGTGGCATGGTGGCTCAAGTGGTAGAGTGCCTTGAGCTGAAGAGCTGAGGGACAGGGCCCAGGCCCAGAGTTCAAGCCCCACAAACAACAAAAAAAAGATGGGGCAAAGTGGTAATCAGCAGAGGACCCAGTATCTGGACCCTCAGCACTATATATACCTGCAGGAAGGAGGAGGTGCTTACACTAGGAGGATCAGCAAGGAGGGAGCGTTCTGGCCCAACTGCCAACTTGATGAGGTTATTCTAAGAGGAAACATAGCAGGACTTGGAAGTCTGAGTTCTGGGGAGGAGACTAAAGAGAAACAGAGGCAGGGTAAGCGGTTCCACTCAGAGCTGCTAGACAGTGGCGGGGGGGGGGGGGGGGGTCACTGCTTGGCAGTGGAGCATCTGAAGAGGCACTAGCCGCACCTCCCAGTTCCTGGTCTCTGAGGGTGCTCTGGGGCTGCCATTTGCCTTGGCTGCCTATGTATAGCAGCCTGTCTAACAGTTTCCATCCTCAGAGACCACTCACTCTGCCTTCTGGTTTCCACATTAAGGTGAGGACTGGGGAGGGGGCTTGGAGGGGCTGGTACAGAGTGTGAGGTCCCCAGCCCCGCTCCCCAGCATCCAATATGGAAACACTAGATCAAAATCTGATTCTCAGTACAGGCCAGGGAAGCCTTGAGAGGAAGTGGCCTCTGACCTGGGCCTTGAGGGTAGAATAGGACTCACAGACCGGCAATAAGCACTTGCCAAAGGGCAGGCTGAGGGCTTGGACTTTGTCTTGTATAGGTTCTGGAGGGGTTGGTCCTTTTTTTAACAGGAAGATTAGCACACACTAACAGGAAGATTAAGAAGTACCCTTGCAGCAGCTCAGGCAACGACCACACCTAGACTAGTTCCATCCCTCACCCATCTCCCACTCGTGCTTAAAGCTAGATCATCAACTCCACTAGACCAGACCAGCCTAAAGTGGGAGCCAAGGGTGCCACCAGCCCCACCATTGCCCATCATCCCTGAGGGCAGACAGCTCTGCTCTCTCCCAGGTCTCGCTCACTTCAGGAGCCCCTGGCACAGAACGCAGCACTCAACCTCAGCTGTTGGGAGAGCTCTGCACATTTGAGCAAGCTAGGAGGTGGAAGGCAGGAGTCTGGGAGCAGCTCAAGCCTTGCCCTTTGCCCTCAGCCCTTTGGGACCCTCTCCCTTCCCCCAAGCCTCTGTTGGAGCTTCTGCAGCTCCCACCTAGAGCCAACAGCAAATGGCCCCTCATGAGCACACACAGGGACAGGAGTGAGGAGTCCTCACAGCTTTAGCTGATGGACTTCCTCGTTCCCAGCCGGGTCAGCACAGTAGAGATAAGGATGTACCCATCCCCCATGCCTATTGGGGAACAAACCCCCATCAGAGCCATACATCAGCCCTCCCCCCCATGTTAAGGCTATAACCAGACTTCATGCCCTGTTCCTCCAAGGACTGGAACAGCTGGGGAGGAATGGGGTCCAGGGCCCCTTGACCCTACATATACTGGGAGTACATAACAGTCTTCAGGCAGGCATCTCAGATGTGGGTGTGGTATTCTAGAAGAAAGGTCCTCTTGTGTTCAAGTGCACCGCCTAAGGGAGAGGACAGGACCCTTCCTACCCAGTCTAGCCACACAGCAGTGCACGGTGTCTGTCAGTGGCTTCCTTCCCGTAGCCAGCTTGGGCTTCAACTTCGCAGTGGTCTGGACTCCAGGGAGGGGCCCCAGGGACCACCATGAGCCCTGACCTGCTGTGACCAATAATTCATCTGCAGATGTGAGAAAGTTCCTCAGAATCTACCTGAGGTGATCCTGTTCCTCCCTCGACCCCTCAGCTGAGCATACAGAGACAATGAGGTGCTACAGCGTGTTTGCACCTCCCACTTGAGTCACGTCATTCTGGGAGATGATCACATGAGCCTGAGTCCACTGGGAGCTCTTTCCCAGCCTCGCACCTTTGCCCCATCTTAGCTCCCTGCCAGGAGATGACACTGGCATTCTCAGTGGGCTGGAATCTTGGCTGTATTCCAAAAACAAGTTGTGAGCCAGGTGCCAGTAGCTCACGCCTGTAATCCTAGCTACTCAAGAGGCTGAGATCTGAGGATCCTGGTTCAAAGCCAGCCCGGGCAGGAAAGTCCTTGAGACTCTTATCTCCAATAAACCACTAGAAAACCGGAAGTGCCACTGTGGCTCACGTGGTAGTGTGCTCGCCTTGAGCTGAAGATCTGAGGGTCAGCGCCTAAACCTAGAGTTCAAGCCTCATGACCAACAGGAAAAAAAAAATTGTGATCCCCATACCCCCCCCACCTCCAAATTGGGGCTTGAACTCAGGCCTGCTCTCACTTTGTTGTTGTTGTTGTGGGGCCTGAACTCTAGTAGGACTTTTCTGCCCAGGCTGGCTTTGAACCATGATCCTCAAATCTCAGCCTCCTAAGTAGCTAGGATTACAGGTGTGAGCCACCAGTGCCTGACTAGAAGTTGTGGGGTGGGCTGTAGGTGCTGTAGAAGGACTTCATACTTGGCAGATGTGTGGGTTTTTTTGTGTGAGGTTTTTTTCTTTTTTTTTTTGCTGTTACTGGGGATCTTGGTGCTGTCCCTGAGATTTTTCTTTTGCTCAAGGCTAGCACTTGAGCCACAGTGCCACTTTTGGCTTTTTTGAGTAGTTTATTGGAGATAAGAGTTTCATGGACTTTTTTTGTTGTGGTGGTGGGGCTTGAACTCAGCCTGGTTGCTGTCCCTGTGCTCTTCAGCTCAAGGCAAGCACTCTACCGCTTGAGCTACAGTGCCACTTCCCAGTTTTCTGATGGTGTATTGGAGATAAGAGTCTCACGGGCCGGGCCCTGGTGGCTCATGCTTGTAATCCTAGCTACTCAGGAGGCTGAGAGCTGAGGATCAAGGTTCAAAGCTAGCCTGGGCAAGAAAGTCTATGAAACTCTTATCTCCAATATACCACAAGAAAACCAGAAATGGCGCTGTAGCTCAAGTGGTAGAGCGATCACCTTGAGCTGAAGAGCTGAGGGACAGTGCTCAGGCCCAGAGTTCAAGCCCCAGGACCAACAAAAAAAAAAAAAGTCTCACGGATTTTCCTGCCCCTGCTAGCTTCGAACTACAATCCTCAGATCTCAGCGTCCTGAGTACCTAGGATTACAGGCATGAGCCACCAGCGCCCAGCATGGCACTCATATTTGTAGTGACTGCTTCATTTTGGCAAACTCCCTGGGTGATGGAGCTGTCTCCCTCACTCAGCTTCTGCAGCTAGTCTGTCAGAGCCTTAGATCTGGCTTGGGAGGGACTGAAGGAGTCCAAGGGGGGATGGATTTCGAGACCATTACAACCTAGAGTCCTTACCCACATGCCTGGCCTGCTGGCAACAGCCCAGCCAGGTCTTTCCTCAATATGAGGCTGGAATATTCCTCATTTTCCATATGGGTGTCAGCCCTGTAGCCAGATCAACGCCTCATGCTGCCAAACCGCTGAGACCTGGTGGTCTTTCCTCCCTCGATGTTGCTCCACATTTTGGGCTTCCCCATTCCGTACACCAGATGAGGCAGGGGAGAGAGATGGTTAGGTTTCAGATGAAAGTAACCACAGCCCAGCCAGGATGCTCACTTCTAAGTGGCAAAGCAAGGTGAAAGACTTCCTCACTGCAGGCTCTGGTCCTCTTCAGCAGGGCTGCTTTCTTAGTGGCTCAGAGTCAACAACAAGTGACACTCATAAGTCACTCTGCCTGGAGCACCTTATAATTATGAAGTGTTCTCTTACCTCCCATCCTCAGAGGGAGGAAGAATGCCGCTTGGCTTTCTGATGTCAAAGCTGAGACCACCAGAGGCCAAACAATTTGTCTAAGGGCAGTGTCATGTGCACAGTGACATGGGCATATTTGATCCCCTCCCTCCCTCCCTTCCTTCCTTCCTTCCTTCCTTCTCTCCCTTTCCCCACCCCTTTCCCTCCCCTCTCCTCCCCTCCTCTCCTTCTCCCTCTTTATTTCATTCATTTGTGATGCTAGTATTACCAAGGCTAGGTAAGTATTCTCCCTCTGAGGTACCTAGCTCTAAACTTAGTTTCTTGGTTCCTAGTCCCATTTCCTTTCTCAACTACTTGCCCAGCTCTGGTCCAGTTGGGGAAGGGACCCCAGGGATCCCTTCACCAAAGCTTAAAGAGAGTTGAGTTAAAAAAACAAAAATCCAGACACCAGCGGGTCATGCCTATAATCTGAGGATCACAGTTCTAAGTCTTCCGGGGCAGAAAAGTCCCCATGAGACTCATCTCCAGTTAACCACCCAAAAACTAGAAGTGGTGCTGTGATTCAAATGGTAGAGTGCTAGCCTTGAACACAAAGAGCCTCAGAGACAGTGCCCTGGCCCTGAGTTCAAGCCCCACAACCAAAAAAAACCACACCCAAAATAATAATAATAATAAAGGCCAGCAAAGCACCAAGCTTTATATTCTTTGCATTCTTGAATTAAGCTATGGAA